TATATAACTATATACAATAATATAATTGCACATTTATTTCCTTAACTTAAGCAGGTTGATTATAAATTATACAAATTATGTAAACGCCGTCGGTTCTCGACTTTATTACAACTAAAATAATGTATCCAAATATACGATATAAGAAAAAAAATATATATACTTAAATAAATAACCTCCAGCTTGGCCCCCTTCCACATCGCCTCCAGTTGGCAGACCGTGCGCGTCAGCCACCTTAGGGTTAAGTCGTCGTTGCACTTTAGGATTTTAATCCCATTTAGCCACCTAGCACCATCGAAAGAGGGCATTGGGGCTGCGGGACTTCCTCCATGTGCGCAAACAGTGCGTGACGTTCCTGCACCAGCTTCCACTGTGCCGCTGTCATATTGCCATTCTCCTCGCTGCGGTCGATGAGTGCCACGATCAGATGTCGTTTGGTCACGTCACTGACCTTCGCTTTTGCCGCTTGCTCGCGGAGTGTCTTTGATGGCACTCTCAGTCGAGCGTCGCTCTTGGTGGACATCATCTCCTCCACCTTATTGGAAAATTCGCCGTTCGACGCCCTCATGTGCGTAATGTAGTCGGCCCTCCTATACTCGCTGCTCGGCCCAGGCTAGCTTGACTTTCTCCTCCTGGGAGATGTCAGCCTTTCCTTGCAGCCGGCTTTTGATTTTGAGGGCCGCTTTGTATTGCGCTTTCGCCTTCATCCCCTCTTTGGAACGCCTCGGTCCTTCCCTACGCAGGGAGCTGGTGCTCAGTTTCGGCGAGCGAAGAAGGATTTCTTCCTCCGTCCTGCTGGACCATTGCCTTAGCTAGGCACTGAATTAACCCGGACAGAGCAAGCGACAGTGCATTACCCTTGCCGGCGGTAATGCAGGGTTCATTTCCCAGTCGGACACTCGTTGAGGGTTCAGCTAGAGGATTTTCGCCAGTTAAATACATTTGTGCACTCTGAAACAATTTTCAACATTCAAATTCGAATCTATAAGTCCGATTACATGGGATTATTAAAAGGTCTGGAAAATTCTCTATTAGATGAGTGTATTCATTTAATCCAAAGCGCTCGACTTTTGCCACATATTTTCGTCTGATTCCCCACTGTGCGTCGTTGCCCAGAAGACTACGAACAATCAACATTGCGTCTCAACTGATGCCCAGTTTTGGCTACAAAAAAACCCCCGCCCACCCAAGCTATAAGGACCTATAAGAGGTCCATTGTGTTGCCGCATGGGCATGTGCCCCTTCTCGTTGCCTGAACCGTGACAGTAGACTACTACAGGTTAAAGGCAGTCCCATCCGGAGGCTTGGATAAATTTGGACAAGGTCCCTGGTTTAATTTCGGACAGATCCGAAATGTCCGTGAGGAAAGCGGCCCCGAGAATACGAAGACGACAATTTCCAAGGGCTGGGCAGTGCCAGAAGCAATGCAGGACCGATTCCTCCTCTTCCTCTTCCGTACGTAGCCAAAGGCATCGCTACTTGCTCCCTCTTCGATAGGAGAGGAATCGTAGTACCCTGCCTGGCTAGATCATCGGCGGAGTCGTTCCCACCGATGTACATGTGGCCGGGGACCCATATAAGGAAGAGAGCTAACTGCTCTGCGATCTCGTGCAGGGACCTGCGGCAGTCATTTACAATCGTTGAAATCGACGATATTGAGCCTAGAGCTTGAATAGCTGCTTGGCTGTCCGAGAAGATGTACACTAAGTGCCTGTCTAGAAGTAGTTTGGAGACGATAGAAATGGCCTCCTTGATGGCCACAACCTCCGCTTGGACCATTCTACCGTGATCCGGGAGCCTGAAGCAATGACTGATGTTCAGCTCGCTACAGTAGACTCCAGACTAACTTTGAGCCATCAGTGTAGAAGTAGACAGCACTTGCAGGTCCTGGTTCGCCCATCTCCCAGTCCCCACTAGGTGGGATTGATACCTAGAAAGGCATCAAGAGGTGATCACTAGGGATACATTAATCTGTCCTCTCTGGTAATTGCGGGAGTCTCATCAGGAGTCCCGACTGCCCAACCACGGATGCTTTCCACAGTTTGGCTTGCCACTGTCTCACCCATGAGATCTACAGGGAGGAGGCCCAGTACGGTATCCAGGGCTTCCCCTAGAGTAGTGCGTAGCCCGCCAGTTTTGCATAGCTCTGCCATGCGTTGAACTCTACTGAGTCTGTGAAGACAATTTCTTTTGTCTAGGGCTGGCCATCATACCACCACTCCATAGAGCATGATTGGTCGCATGATGGCGGTCTATAGCCTCCGAACTACATATATACGGGATCATTCCCCATCTTAGTCCGATGGCTTTCCGGCATGTGTAAAGTGCCACTGTGGCCTTCTTTACTCTATCCTCTATGCTCAGTTTCCAATGGAGCTTTCTGTCGAGGATTAGGCCAAGATACTTGGCGTTGCTGCTCAAAACTAGCGCTTCCCCACATAGTCTAGGGGGAAACAGTACCGGAACTTTGTACTTCCGGAAAGATATTATAAAAGGCGCCTTCTATGTCGAGGAAGGCTACCAGGGTATACGCCTTAAAGTTGAGGAACGCTTCGATGATCGATGTGATCGAGTGTAGGGCCGTTACGGTGGATCTTCCCTTCCGATAGGCATGCTGGAAGTCTGAGACCAGACTGGGCGGAATACACGCCATGAGATGCAGCAGCAGGAGCCGTTCCATCGCCTTCAGAAGAAAAGTCGATAGGCTTAGCAGGCTCATGATGGCATTTGAAGGAGGAGGCGAAGGAAAGAAGGTGGCGCGAATTTGTTGGGTCTGTATTGCAGCCAGGAAAGTGAGTATTTAGGAGGAGATTTAGCGACTCATCGCTGGACGTAGTCCAAGACTTGTCGGCGTTCTTCAAGTAGCCCAAGGTGGATGTTGTCTTTGAGAGAACTCTGCGCAGGCGTGAAGCTTCTGATTTGTTCTTGATTTCACTACAGAACTTACGCCAGGAGGCGCGTTTGGCTTTCCGATGTTTTTTGTTGTACGTTGACAGACTGGCCTTATACTCGGCCCAGTTTTGCTCAACGTTTTCAGCCTTAGCTTTATTGAAGAGTCTCCGTGAGGCTTTCCGGAGTTCCCACAGTTTCGGATTCCAACATTCAGGTTTCTTCCGGCCTCTGTTCTTGCCACATTTTTCATGTACCTAAGGTCCGAGAAGGAGTGCTCTTTCAGGACCCTCCAGGATACAATGTTCCTCTGTATCTCATGAGAGGCAAGCGTGAGATCCAGGACCTCCTCGCGGTTTTAAATAATGAAGGTGGGGTCACTACCCCGGTTTAATAAGACCATCTGAGTGGTCAATAGGTAAATGAAAAGGTACTCACCTCTTTTCGTTTGTGTCAGTGCTTCCCCACTGGCAGTGATGTGCGTTGCGGTCACACCCCACAATTAAGGCGATGTGCTTGGCCGCAGAGTCTTTGATTAAAGCCCGGAGAGGCGTGTGTGGAGGGGGTTCAGATTGATCATGACCCATGCATGCGGAGCAAATACTCAGTGATATGCTGCTCCTGGCCTTCGAGGCTCACTGCGGTATGGTCTTCATTGCTGAAGTTTGGGAGCAAAAATAAGTGCAACTCTCTTCTGGCAAGAATGTAGGTACGAATTTTACCTGCGGTTTTAGCTTCGTTTGGCTTATAGTCTGAAGTCCTCAGACCGGAGACCCTGTTTCCGAGGATCCAGGGCTCCTGAATGAGGCTCCACCCTTGGCCGACACCCTTGGAGCAGTAGAGCAACGCCTTTGAAGCGCATTTTTGGCTACGAAAAAATCAGAACAAATTTTCTAATACGAATAAGCGAAAACTTTGGGAAGCTGCATTTTTTATGGTATGTGTGCTTAATCTTCTTCAATTTTAACGAATAAATCCTATATTTTCACAACATAATCTCTTAGTCTAGCTTACCTACGGTGGCAAAGCGGTGGTGGTGGTGAGTTTAGTTAATATATATGTGTATGTGTTCATTTATATTTTATTTTGGTATTTTGGAGCCATATAAAAAATAAATACACATAGGTTAAAGTGCGGAGATAGAACATTTTCTTTATAAGCACTTTCCCTGATACGATTGCGGATTCGCTGGGAGCCTGCAAGATTCCGTTGATGTCGAGGAGGATGGATACAATGAAGGCCTATCTTCACCACGGAAGCTCCAAAGCTTGAAAACCTTCTGTAGATTGATCGGGAAAGGCTGGAGTTCTGGAAAGAGTAGCAGAAATTACAGAAGAAGCACCGGAAAACCAAGCAAGAGATACTCCTGTAAATTGCGAGCAGCCAAGGCCAAAAAAAAACAAATTCCAAACAGAGCTGCTGCAAATTTTAATGGATTCCAGAGAGTAATTATATGAATAGTTTTATTATAGCCGCTAAAACCGCCAATTTATACATTACAACTTTTGATATACCACAATTCAGACAAAAACTTTGGTATAATGAATTGATTTGGTATAATAATTGTCATCAGCTGTTTTTTTAACGGATGGTGGATAGGGCAAGTTGGAATCGGTGTTTCAAATCTGTCAAAAAAACACACCCTTCTCGAGGAATGTGCTCAGTGTGCAGAAACTTAATTTTATATCCCCAATTTTTAAGAATGGGTTTTAATTCCGGATCTCAACTAAAATTAATTAAATAGATAATAATAATTCAAGAGCAGACCTGAATGCCTTAATGAAACTGTGATATTCCAATAAAAGGGAACCCGGCCTGACCGACAAATAGTATTTGCGCGTAAATTATCGATAAGTCGCCGTCCATCATCGGTTTGAATACAGAATACACACGTGGATGATGAGAATATTTTATACAAGAAAGTGGTTAAATATCAGATTTACAAGATTAAATCAAATTAAGAACCGATGTTGGAGTACCATTATTAAAGAATGTGTATCGATTTTTGAATGCAATGACACCTCTCCTCTAAACTTTATATAGATGGATTGTTTTTAGCCACATTCCTGTCGGTACAAGAAAATCTCAAACACATTTGGGATAGCAGTCACACAATAAGCCATCAGTATACATTAAACCAATCATGTCAGGCATAAATAGTTATTCCACGTAAATTTTAAACTGAAAATATATACATATATCACAATTAATAAATGGGTCGTTACCTCGTCCAGGTTTGTAGCAAAGCAAGGACAGTTAGAAGATCAGATGCAAAGAAAAAAACAGGTAAACGGTGTATACACAATCTGTGGTCCCAACAAAGTTTGGGTACCAGGAAACATGTATAGCTTGAATTAATTTAATTATATAAACCTCTGTGATTTGGTTGACATATGTATGTAGTATTGATTACCGCGAAAAGTCCATTGTAGATAACATAAACGCAGATCAAGATGCCACTACTAAAATTCGATATATCAATTCAGAGCTCGAATTAACATTGCCACTAAAGGAACAGAAGGATCTTGACAAATACATGAATAACCAAGAGGATGGTAAGTGATTTGATCCTGCCTTCGTTTAATCTGAATATACATTTATTAGACACATCATTGCGGAAGTACCTCGTCTTTGGAGTTCAATGGATTTCACTGGTCACAGAAAACCTTCTGAGCCATCCATTTATTGTATTACGTCGGCAGTGTCAGGTTTATAATGCTTCGAAGCGTTTTCACTTGCATCCGTTTACGCTACTGCCAAGCATTGTTCATTTGCACAAGCGGCAGGGGTTAACGACGCTTTGGAAGGGCCTTGGAAGCTGTCTCCTGGTGCGAGGATTGAGCTTAGCCGTGGACGATGCCATCTCAAAGCTTACTAGTTGGCCCAAAGACGTAAATAGTCAGACAACGCTTAAGCGCTTTGGCCAACATGTTCTCCTTAAGTGGTACGTCGACGCCATGTATGTACTTTAAAAACACTAACTTTTTTTTTTAGCATAAGCATAGGACTGGTTGTTCCTTTCCATGCCGCCTCTCTGGTGGAGACTGTGCAAAGCGATATAGCGAGCGAAAAGCCTGGACTTTTTGATGTGTTTCGTGAGGGCAGTCTTCGACTTTTCTTCTGGAGTTATCCGCAAAGGGGTAGAATGCTCCCTGCTTGGGCGTTGATTGGGCCTAGTGCATCGTTGGGCGTCACAAAGTATTTATTCAATTTAGTAATACGTGGCGTGGCCTCACGCATAATGCTCCGCCGACAATCGCTTGTACAAGAAAATTGTGACTCACACGCTGACACGCTTGAGCAGCGAAATTCGGAGATTTATGGAAATCTTATCGCCACGCTTACTACCGAATTAATATTCTTTCCCTTTGAAACGATTTTACATAGACTTCAGCTACAAGGCACGCGTACTATAATCGACAACTTGGACAATGGCTACGCAGTGGTTCCCATTTTGACAAACTACCAAGGGGCTGTCGACTGCTATCGTACAACTATCATTTCGGAAGGATTTGCCGGACTTTACAAGGGCTTTGGGGCTATGATCCTGCAATTTTCCGTACACATTGCAGTAATAAAGATGGCCCAATGGATTGTCACCAAAATCACAGAGGTGATCTCAAATCGACCACCACCATGCATTGTACAGTATTACAATCTTGACTGTGTTGCTGGAAAGTCCAGTTCAACGACCATATCGTCAAGTATTTCAAGTACTGAGTTGGACATGCACAGTGTAGGACAGAATTCTTTGAAGTAGTTATTACCAATACAATACAGTTGTTTACAGAGTTATCTATGGATAATAAGAGTCTATACATATAGTATATATTTGTATCGTGATGAATCTATATGTGTCTAATTTTTGTATGGTGGATAAACTGATTTTTCAAAAATGAAGTTAGAGGGGACTCCGAATACAATAAATTTCCGCCTTTAAAAGGCATTTTATATAGCCTACTCGACCGATCCAATACAGGTGGTCCTATATCTAGCGACACTTCGAAAGATAGATGGTAGGCGTCTTCAGGTATAGTGATCGGACGGGCTCGGGTTAACAACAAAGCATGATCTGATACAAAGCACAGATCAAGCAATCGGCCCGACTTTAGACAGGAACAGGTCAAGCACGCCGTCAACAAAGTCATGTCTTGACATGGACACTAGGTTACTAGACTCGTTTACCGAAGACCGAATAGTTCCTGGCAAGTTGAACTAACCAAGAACACCATGATCTTTATCTGATAGCGAGGAAGAAACAGCGGTTAAAGCGGACAAGTGCTGCTCAAAAATTGAGAAATCCGAAGAAGGTGGAATATACGAGAAAGTAATAAATATAGCGAAGAATCAGTTTTCAGGAATTCCAGTTGCTGTTGAACTTGGACTGTGAAGTGTTCCGACATGAAATTATAGTCCATTGCAAGCAGAACCCCTCCTGCACGTCGAGACGAACGGTCCTTTCTAAAAGTTGTGTTCCGACCTGCCAAAACCTCGGAACTAAGAAGATCCGGCTTTAACCAGGTTTCAGTAAACACAATAACGTGGGAAGCAAATGCAACACTATCCCGGAAAAGAATGCTGAGCTTACTACGCAAGCTCTTACATTCTGATAGGTTACTAAAAGAGAAGTTAGTTTTTTGGAAAGGTGGAAGCAAGACGGGAAGTTGAGGAAGAGGAAGTTGAGGTTGAGGGTGGCACACTGGAAAGATTTGGAAGGGATATGGGGGGCCTATTCTTCTTCTTAGCTTTAAACTCCTTCACCACCAATTGCACCAAACGAGGCTATCTCCCTGGCATAAGAGAAGTTAAATTTCTCCACCTTTAACCCCACGGCTTTTATTTTGCTTTGAATAAAAGCAATTACATCATTAGATGTGAGGTCAGGGGCCAGCCGTGAAACAAAAACTTGTCGTTTTGGTGGGACTCCCACCAGTGGCTTAGTCACCACAGGCCTAGTACCTGTGGTGGCAATATCCGGAGGTCCGGAATGTCTATTTACTGGTGGGATCGGGATAGACGGGACAACTAGCGAACTTGCGGACACCACGGACACGGACGCTACAGACGTACTTGGCTGCACATTCTCCGAGGCGATGAATTGGGCTACCGAATCTGCATCGCCAGCAGCTGTCGTTGCTCTTGGAGTGGCAAACGAGATCAACTGCTGCACACTTGGAGTGGTCGGAGTCAGTTTTTCGGCGGCGAGCGGCTGAGTGACTGTTGGCATTTCCAGATCGCGCGGGTTGACCCTTTTGCGCCTCGGAGACTCATTCAGCAGTTTCAAACCTCTAAACTGAGCTTCCATGGCTAGGAGATGATCGTATTCGTTTTTAAAACCAAAAAAAAAGAGAGCAGGAGAAGAGCGGTTATAGCTATAGCTACCAAACAAGGAGCGCTTTTGCTCAGAAAGTTTGAAGAGCGAGAGAGAATAAACAGTTTTTTTTGATTTGGATAATAGGGAGAGAGTGAAAGGTTACGGCAAATGTTGGGTTAGGTTAAGGCGATAGCCTAGGAGGGCGATTAAACCCCTCCAAGCTCAATCGGACCTTTAAAAAGAAATGTCCATTGTGATGCCACATGGGCGTGTGTCCCTTCTCAATTCCTAAAAGCTAGGAGAGCAAGCTGTTGCATATTAGGGGCAGTCCCATCCGGAGGCTTGAATGAATTTAGACAAGGTCCCTGGTTTGATTTCGGACAGTTTCCAAATATCCGTGAGGAAAGCGGCCCCGAGAAGCCGAAGACGACGATTTCCAAGGGGCGGGCAATGGCGGAAGAAGTGGGATACTGATTCTTCCTCGTCGCGACAACTCCTGCAGAAGTCATTATGAGGGATTAACAGTCTAGAGCCATGAGTGCCAATCTGCCGTGTCCCGTGATGGCTCAAGTAACTGCAAAGCACTGTACTCTGCTGAGTCTATACAGCTCTGCTGAGCGCTTCTTCGATCGATATGGTCATATCAATATCGAGACTTTACAGGAAACGGTTTGCTGCCATCTCATGCTTGCATTTTGCTCGAAAAATTCGTGCGTGAGAAGCCTGCACGTAGCCAAAGGCATCGCTACTTTCTCCCTCTCCGATAACAGAGGAATCGTAATACCCAGCCTGGCTAGCTCGTCGGCGGTGTCGTTCCTCTCGATGTCCATGTGCCCGGGGACCCATATAAAGAAGAGATTTAACTGCTCTGCGATCTCATGCAGAGAACTGCGGCAGTCATTTACAGTCATTGAACTCGACGATATTGAGCCTATTGAAGTCTCCGTAAGGCTTTCCGGAGCTCCTCGAGTTTCGGACTCCACCATTTATGTTTCTTTCGGCCTCTGCTTTTGCCAGAGTTGCAGGATTTATCCAGCGCCTTATTGCAGGCGTCGCTCAGTGGGGCATTCCGCCGTTTCAGCTTGCTAAATTAATAACTTATGAAAAAATACAAATATCTTCATGAAATTAACTGCATTTGAAAGAAACATCTTTTAAAACTTAATCTGTTATAGAACATTATGCTACAATGTCTAAAAGCTTCACAATAATGGGTTAAAGTTTAACTTTGCTGCCAGTGCATATTTTCCTATGTAAAATTCTCTACTTTTTTTTATCGATAAGGTACTTTTAATGCTGTTTTTTGCTCTAAAATATTATGTTTAATTTAATTTTCAGCTCAACGTAATTTTAAAAAATTTGTATTGCAAAAAAAATTTTTTATTTTAAAAGTTGGTTGAATTTTTTTTTCTTTCTGTAAAGTAATCCTCCACTTTCTGTTTAGTGGAAAGAATATCTAATAAACGTATCATATCTGAAGAATAGGTTAGGTTAGGTTGAGGCGGCTGCCGGGTTCGCTCGGAGCCCGTCACACTTAGGCCGGTTTCGGCCCGTTGTGATACCGCATAGGATCATTTCCTTCCTGCGTTGTGAGACTTCCTGTCAGCAATTATCCCATCCAGATGCTCTCACAAAGTTCGCTATCCTTCTGGGATATAGTTTGGACATCTCTGAGATGTCGTGTAGAAAGGCTGAGCCCAGGTGCTGTAGCCTTCTTCTGCTGAGAGCCGGGCAGGAGCAGAACAGATGTTCCACTGTCTCCTCCTCTTCCTCGTCTCTACAGCTGCGACAAAAATCGTTATGTGGGGCCCCAAGCATGTTAGCGTGGGTGCCTATTAGCCAGTGTCCCGTGAGGGAACGTGTGACTACGCTGCACCTTTTCCTGCTTAACTTGAGGAGCTCGGAGGTGCGCTTCATGTCCATGGTCGGCCATGTTTGCCGAGTTGTGCGACATCGTGGCACTGTTTGCCACATATCGTTTTTTAGTCGCTTGTATTGCTCCCTTATGATGAGCTTACAGGTGGCCATTGGCATACAGATATCCTCCTTGTCTTGGAGAAGGGGGATTGTAGTGCCAGATCTGGCCAGCTCGTCCGCTATACAGTTGCCCTCGATGTCCCGATGGCCCGGGACCCAAATTAGGCTAATAGCAAATTGCTGAGCCATCTCGTGCAGAGATTTGCGGCAGTCTGCCACGGTGGCCGAGCTCGAGGAAATCGCGCTTAGCGATTTGATCGCAGCCTGGCTGTCGCTATAAATGTTTAGCTTGGTTGCCGTGACGGCAGCCGCTTGTAGGCAATCTAGTGCCTCCCTGATTGCTATGACTTCCGCTTGAAAGATACTGCAATGATCTGGGAGTCTGAAGGAATGCCTTATGTTTAGCTGTTCAGAGTAGATTCCCCCTCCGACTCTGTCGTCCAGCTTTGATCCATCTGTGAAGATGCTTATGGCCCCATCAGGGCCTGGGAGTCCCTCGAGCCATTCGTCTCTATGAGGGATGATTGTGTCGAAGGGAGTGTCTGTATACTCTCTTGGAACTTGGTAGTCTGTTTTTGAGGGGACGGTACTGCTATTTAATATGGCTGAGTGACCTATGCACTGTGTCACCCATTGATCTGAGTCTCTTAGACGTATTGCTGCTGCTTCTGCCCGTTCCTTTCCTGCGAGTTCAAGGCTCTGTAGGCATAGGATGGCATTTAGCGCATCATTTGGGGTGGTGCGGAGAGCTCCGCTGATGCATAGGGCGGCAGTCCGCTGGACTTTGCCCAGTTGCTTGGTGATCGCCCTTTTTGATAGGGCTGGCCACCACACCGTAACTCCGTAGAGTAGTATTGGTCTAACTATAGCTTGATATATCCATTGGACTATGCTTGGGATCATACCCCATCTTAGCCCAATAACTTTTTTGCATGTATAGAGTGCAGTCATTGCCTTCTTCACTCTGTCTTTGACATTCAGGTTCCAGCTAAGCTTCTTGTCAATTACCAACCCTAAGTAACTGGCACTGTCGCTAAAGGAGAGCCTGCATCCTTGTAGTATTGGAGGGTTGAGGGGCGGGACCTTGTATTTATTTGTGAATAATACGAGTTCCGTTTTTGAGGGATTTACTCCCAGACCGCGCGATTCCGTCCAATCCGACAGTTGCGCTAGCTTTGTGGACATTAAGTCGCACAGTGTTTGGGGGTATTTCCCCGAGAAAATAATCGCAACGTCATCCGCATAGGCCACGACTTTGCAGCCCCCCCCCTCCAGGTCCCATAGAATCTTGTTGACTGCTATGTTCCACAGAAGAGGAGACAGGACACCACCTTGCGGGGTGCCTCTGTTGACATACCTTGACTGGGCGGACGATCCCATCGATGATGTCACCGTCCTGCATGTGAGCAATTGATCAATGAGCATCACCAAGTGACAGTCCACCCCCAGGTCAGTCAGGGCTTCTGTAATGGCACCCGGTACAACGTTGTTGAAAGCTCCCTCAATATCGAGAAAGGCTATGAGTGAGTACTCTTTGTGATGCAGAGATTTCTCTACCGC